GGTTGGCTATGATGTTTTCTTCTTTTATTAAATTAAATGGAAAAAAAGAAATTAGAATATCACGTGATCGAGATCGTGTATATGAAGTATCTGAATTAGTCATTTTTTTAAAATAAGAAAGATATATAGCTCGAACTGATATCATTCGTATTTCTGATTTTCAACAGAAGATGTAGTTCGTTACAGGAGGCATCACAAAAACATGATTTTGACTATGAACTTTTTTTGATTTCACATTTCGAGATAATTAAAACACAAATAACATCAAAAGTTAGCCGTAGGTTTTTATGAACAAATCACTTTATTTGTAATAGAAGTTTTAGTTATATATATCATATTATACGACTATACCAGTATTAATTAAATCGTATTGTAAAAATCATTTAGTTTTATTGAAATTTTGTACTTATACTTTGTATTCAAATAAAAGATTATTTAGTTCTGATGGTGAAATTGTTTTAATGAGTGTTATTGAATTACAGGGAACTACAGATAGTGATTTATCAGTTTTACGTACATTTAGATTATTATGTTTCATATAATAAATTCTTTAAGACAAGATTTGTTAAATAAAGATAAGGATTAAACAGAGGAGTAGTAATGAATAGAACATGTTGAAACCGATCGATCAAAATACGAATGTCTATTTATAACAATGTCACATATTTTTCATCTTCTTTGTGTACCTATTTCAACTTTTTCGTTTGAATACAAGAATTCTTGGCATTAATAATGATTAATAAACGAAGATAAAATTTATAGGAATAGAAATTCATTCACAAAATAGCTATTATAGACTCAACTGTAAATACTTTTGAGAAAAAAAGTATTTTGTTCTCATGAATTAATGTTGCATTATTGATGAGTTCAAAAGACTTTCAGCTTTTCTAAAATGTATCAGCAGAAGATAAATTACATAAATTAGATGCAACAACACAAGAAATATTCTTATTAAACAAATACAACGTTGATGAGCATTTGCGGCTCAATATAATTATGAATAATATCCTCAGAAAAGACGTCGTTTTATAGTAGCCGAATATATATATCTTTGATAGAAGAGATTTTCTTTTGTTGCTTTATTTGACTTCACTTATTCCTTGGAGAGAAATGTTAGTTTACTTTTAACGGTTTCTGTAAAACAATACAATAGATAGGGTACATCAATTAAAAGAAGTTGATCATATAAAGCCATATTATTCATTTGAAAAAAATCTTACTTTTATTCGAATTTGTTATTACTTCATCACAAACATAGACAAGTATTGTTGAACATTATTTCTATAATAAATTGATCAGTTTGTCTTAATTAATATTTATTAGTTCATTTTATTATTATTTTCACTCATCGAGTGATGACTGTTAACATTTTGAAAATCTAATCTTTCATTTCTTCTGATTATTTTCACAATGATACGTATTCATTTTAATTATCAAGTAATTCTATAAATGGAATCTAACTATGTTTTTTTTTCTTGGTTGTTCAACATTTTAAAAATCTTCCATAGATATTTCATAGATCATGTTGTTCCTTTGGGCCACTTACGAGTGAAGGTCCCTAAGTGTGAGTCCCAATTTTTAATAGCATGTATCCTAGTTTGTAGAGCTCGACGAGCTGAGTCGTGTAGTCTATTTTATTTTCCCCCATAGGTCTAGAAAGAGATATTTTAGGATAATTTATATATAGTAGATAACATAATAAGTATAGAACTTTTTACGACGACGTTTTCAGAAAAAAAGAACAATCAGCTAGATATACTAGAAATAACGAATAGATATGAGATAAACATGTTCGATTCAAAACGACAAAACAAAACGGGGTCTTTTTAGTACACATTTGTTTGATAGCATTATATTCCAAAGTAATAATGCAAGCTCCGGATCGAATCAATAACGGAAATAATATTTTTTTATTCGTAACTCAATAAAAAGGAGTAGATTGTAATGTATCTTTGGAACTATACGTTAGTGATTATCAACAGTTGAGATTGTAATGCACCTATTAAATCCTGTTTTATGTATTGAAATTTATTAATAAAATCGATTGATTCCTCTCACCTAAACCTCTATAAACTAAGATATATCCTATTAAAAATTAGGACTCACACTTGGGACCTTCTCTCGTAAGTTGATTAAAAATACATCATGAGTAAGTGATCATTCTTTTTGTTGAATTCTCATTAATGATGAATACCGATTGATGGATTCTATTAGACCATGCACTGACGGCATATCCATATATATATTGCAGCTTTCTCACTATTTCATAATACAAGACCTCGTTCAACACTATTACAATTCAATTTCATATAAGTTATCCTTCTTTTATTATAGGGAACACTCTCGTAAAGAATTGGAAATGTAAATATGTCTAAGATGACCACTTATACACATACATATGTATGTGTAATACCTTTCCAGTGGGCTTTATCCATCTCGTTTTTATTATATACAGAGTTGTTCTTTATAGTTGCCTTCGAGCCACTACAAACTAGACTCAATTCAACAAAAATGAACAAAATATTCTTTTATTTATTTATTAACTGTTTTTTATAATTTCGTTTTTACAACGTCAATACTCCCTTGCACACTTCTGATATGAGGATGAGTTGGAGGCAATGTACGTTTTAATATGCGCAGAGCACGGTCATAATATGAAAATGCATTCGAATAGTCTGTCATATTGTAACATAAACGAGCGATATTGTTGTATGAACAAGCCAAATCAGGATGATTTGAAGGAAGAGCTTTTTGTGTAATTTCAAGTGCTTTTTCCAAAAATGAAAGCGCTTTCGAGTGCTCTTCCATGTTGTAATACACGGTACCGATGTTGTTGTACGAAGTAGCTAAATCAGGATGATTTGAAGGAAGAGTTTTTTGGCGAATTTCAAATGCTTTTTCATGAAATGAAAGTGCTTTCGAGTGCTCTCCCATGTTGTTATACACCAAGCCGATGTTGCTGTATGAAGTAGCCAAATCAGGATGATTTGAAGGAAGAGCTTTTTGTTGAATTTCAAGCGCTTTTTCGTGAAATGAAAGTGCTTCCGAATACTTTTCCATCATGGAATACACCAAACCGATGTTGCCGTATGAAACAGCTAAATCAGGATGATCTGAAGAAAGAGATTTTTCTTGAATTTCGAATGCTTTTTCGTAGTATGAAAGTGCTTTCGAATACTCCCCAATGTTGTCATACACGCTACCAATGTTGTTGTATGAACAAGCCAAATGCGGATGATTTGAAGAAAGAGATTTTTCTCGAATTTCGAGTGCTTTTTCGTGAGATGAAAGTGCTTTCGAGTAATCTCCCATGTTGTTAAACATCAAACCGATGTTGTTGTATGAAGTAGCCAATGACGGATGATTTGAAGGAAGAGTTTTTTGATAAATTTCAAGTGCTTTTTCGTGAGATGAAAGTGCTTTCGAATATTCTCCCATGTTCGCGTACACCAATCCGATGTTGTTGTGTGAAATAGCCAATTTAGGATGATTTGCAGGAAGAAATTTTTCTCGAATTTTAAGTGCTTTTCTGTGGTATGGAAGTGCTTTCGAGTACTCTCCAATGTTGTTATACGCGCAACCGATGTTGTTGTACAAAGTAGCCAAATCAAGTAGATCTGAAGGAAGAGTTTTTTGTCGAATTTCACGTGCTTTTTCATAATAAGAAAGTGCTTCCGAATACTTTCCCATGTCATAATACACCAAACCGATACTGTTGTTTGAAATAGCCAAATCATGATGATCTGAAGGAAGAGTTTTTTGTTGAATTTCAAGTCCTTGTTCGTAATAGCAAATAGCCTTTTCATAATCACCTTGACTTGAATGCACAGATCCCAGTTGATGATAATAAATAGCTTTTTCACCCTCATCAGATGTTTTTTCGAGTAGTACGTTATAAAGTTCCTCAGCTTTATTAAATTGGCCAATTTTAAGCAATAAGTCACCCAATCTTTGCCAACCTGTATCACCGTCAGCCTCTTCTTGCATTCGATCAGTAAGTACTCGTAGTTGTTGATCATCATCCGACGTTAATTGAAGTTCAACTTCGTAAAGTTCTTTGTCGCTGTCCGGCTGTTCAATTGCACCGACTCGGAAGACGGTGTGCATGGAAAAGAGAATTTCTTCTTCGCTCTTAGTTGCACTCATCTCTTTTATGTAGGCAAATGGTGTTGATTTAATACAAGGATCAATGGACATTATAAAGAGAATGCCCACCGTGTCCGCTTTTGTTAGAGCACATTCAGCAAATTCGAGGGACACTACTTTATTTGTACTAGTAGATAAAAAATTGTTAAATGACATTAATCCACCTTTTGTTTGCTGAAGTTTTTCGAAGTCTGATTTCGTAAGACCTTGCCCTCGATATACTTTAAAAGACTTTCCATCATAATTGCTGATCTGTTTTTCATAAAGCTGTCGAATTTGTATATGCACATCACGTAGAAAGAAGCCCATGTTAATGATTATATCGGCATCCAGTGTTCGAAGAGCATCGTTGAGCATATAATAGATATTAGATGGGTAAGTATACCACCAAATAGCGGATTGAGCATGGTATTCTTTTTCAAAACGGTCAGTATTTTTTGGTGACAAGCTGTTAATATTGTTTGGTGATAACCTGTTATTATTTCGACAATAAGCAATAAACTGTTTGATCGCTTGTTCATCATGTTCCATATCAAGAAGAATTTTCTTGAATAGCTGAGTGTACATAAATGTTGGCTCCAACTGATTTAAATTATCAGTTGAAGCTATTTCATTTACTGAAACAAAACTCACAGCAATTGAGTCTTGGTTATATTGCTTAACTTCCATTTGTAACCTCTGGCAAATATCATCAACGGTGGTATGAACGCCCTTGATTTTTTGCCATTCTTTTGTCCATTCTTCATGTGGGGTTTTAATATCATTGAAGATATAAATACCAACCAGCTGAGGAATATCACTGATGAGAGGCATTAACTGTTGAGACGTAGCATCCTTGACGACGAGAAAACACTTGATGTCTTCTTGAGCATCTGTAAGAAAGTCGATGCATGCTTCTCGCTGTCTAAAGACATTGACATCACCAGTAACAGCTTGTATTTGTTTTACTGTATTTTCAAAATCGTCGTTTGTTTGATCGATACTGATATCTATCCATAGGAGAAGATAGTTTAGTGCCATACGTTGTCGTGGCTGACGAATATCTGATGATGTCGTTGATTTGGATAATTCAGCAGCAGTTTGATTTAATTCCGATCCGCTCGTTCTCATCCTTTTGTGATTTGATTCTGATTCGCTCATACGGATTCTTTTGTGGTTTGATTCCGATCCGCTCATTGTGATCTTGTGGTAATTTGTTGTTGGATGTGAACTTGTCAGTAGATGTTGTTGTTTAGATAAAAAGTAAGATCACCGTTCTTCTTTATATAGGCAGTGATTTATTTTTTCTAAATTTTCGACGAATTCGAATGTTCGTATGTTTTTGTTGTCGTTTAAGGACAAACTTCACCTGGTTACTATCGAAAATAATATTATGCAGAGCAAAAAAAACAGCTAAAATCAAGCAAATTCGTCGATGCGAAACTAGTACGACGACAATCCTATTGTGAATACGATTAACTAATCCAAAAAAAGCATACAATACCTATCTAGATCCATAAAATACCCAATATCGTATTTATTTACTATTTTTTATCAAACTAAATGGAAAAAAAAGAAATTAGAATGTCACATGACCGAGATCGTGTATACGAAGTATCTGAATTAATAATTGTTCTAAAATAAGAAAGGTATATATATATATCAAGATCGAACTGATATCATTCGTTTTTCGATTTTCAACAGAAGATTTAGTTCGTTACAGGAGGCGTCGCAAAAATATGATTTTGACTATGAACTTTTTTTATTTCACATTTCGAGATAATTAAAACACAAATAACATGAGAAGGTAGACGTAAACTCTTATGAACAAATTACTTTTATCGTTTAACTCTCTTTACAAAATCAATCTTTATTTATAATCGAAGTTTCATAGTTATATATCATATTATACGGCCGGTCCTACACTCTCAACAAGTACAAGCATATTTCATATCCTTACGGTAATGAAAATATAACACCATTAGCCCCAAATACGTGTTAGATCACATGATGTGTATTAAGCTTCGACGATTAAAATAAACGAATGAATAAGGAGTTAGATCACTTTATGTAAGGTACTTCTTTTGTGTAGTATAATTCTCTTCCCTTGCTTACATACCGTGAAGAGACTTATTTTTCGTTTCCTAAGAGGCACTCATCTTGTATAATTGGATTCGTTTTTGTTACTAGTGTTTTATAAGAAAGTAAGTCATAACTATGGTTTATAAACACTTACTTGTTTCTCTTTTGTAATGTCACTATTTTTCCGTGTTTGCATTTCATACATTCAACTACTGTGAGTGTCTAGTTTGAGTTTTTATTTAGTAATATGATTAGAAAGCATTAAAATTCAAATACAAGCAATTATAAATATTTATAACATTCCTTAAAATAAAGTACGAAGTCGTCCAACTTTTTGCTGGACAGAAGCATTAAATTCTTTTTTATATATTTTTGATGGTAATATATAGACAATGAATGTCATCATGGAAGGTAAAAATGATATAAAATAAGCAATAAGAAATAACCAGGAATTATTTGGTGATTTCATACATCCACTTGTAAACGAAAGAATTAAACGTATTAATGCTAATAATATGAATACACATGATGCAATTAGATGCGATTTATGTTGTTTTAATTGTGATCGTAGATGATCTATGAATGGTAATCTTGTTTGTAGATTTGAACGAGAACGAGCCAGTGAAATAATAATAAAAATTATACTCAATAAATTAATTAAAAAAGGCATTAGAAAATGAACGAACGTAATAAATGAATTCCAAGTATTAATTGAAGAAGAAGAATATTGTACTATACACCATATACGTTTTTCATCTATATCAATATCATCGATTAATTGCCGATGAATTGGATCATGAAGATGTGTTAAAATTGTAACAATTAGAATACTTAATATAACCCATTTGGATATTTGTTTACTTTTATGTTTGTTGAATCGAACACCTGTACTAACATTCATAGCTCGTTCAATAGAAACACATGTATCAAGCCAATCATTAAAGGCTATAAGAATTTTGATACTAACATCTAATAATATACAATTAATATTGATAAATGATCGATTAGTAAGAATTACCATTTGTGATAAAATTAATTGCCAAAATTTAATTATTAACATAATTATTAAACATATCGATATCCAAGAGGATACTAACAGATAATAACCACAACCTACATCTCTTGTTTTCTTCATATGAAATGTTAATATCGACATAATTCCATTAATTAATCCTAAAATAAACATAATTGTTGTTATAGCTATACTCATTTTGATGATGATTGGTTGTTGAGAAAATGAACGATTTGGTTTAATATGATAACTAAGAATATAATCAAGTGATAAAACAAAACCTTTCGTAGTAAATTGACATCTTAAACCATAATAGCAATCAGAACATACGCACAATGCTTCAACAGGACATTTGGGATTATCTTGGAAACATTGACCATTATTTTCACAATAATTATGACCTTGACAATCATAAGTCAACGAATGATTAAAGGTAAAACAATTTGAAAATCGATCAAGATCACATATACACATATATGTTTCATCATAAAAACACATTAATTCTTTATATTGTCGACATAAATGAGGATAATATTTAATACGATGAAGATAATTATAAGATTTTAAAGTAGAATTCATTAATTCATGTATCGAAACACATTGTTGATCTGGTGTTAATTTCATTTGAATCTGATTTAATTTTTGAATAGTTTCTTGTTTAATAATTAAATAATAATCGTTTTTTAAAAGTTCAATAAAAAGAATATGAAATTGTGGTTTTACGTGAATTTGTATCGTATTTTCTCCATATTTAATCTTTTTTATTTCTGTTATATGTTGATGTTCAGAATGATCGAATGCTTTGATATAATGAATAAATACAATTGAAACTTGTTGAATCATTTCTTCATTTAATTCAATATAAATTCCATCTTCAATCTGATTTTCACATCGTTTTCCATAGAAATTTTCTTTACATAAACAAGTAAAATCATTTAAGTTGATACGATCATCGATTGGTATACATAATCCATTATTTTCACAAGAATTATTTAATGATTGACAAACTGAACGTGTTAAATGACAATTTCGACCAAATTTCTTCATTGAACATAAACAAATAGATGAAGTAAGACAAAATGAATCTGATGAACAAGAACAAGAATGTTGAATATTACACTGACGACCCGAATAACCTTGATCACATTGACAAAAATATGAAAAGTTTTTATTAACATATCGCATACATCGACCATGTTTTCCACAAGATAGTTTGCATGAAGAGTCGAATTGTTCTTGTGTATTAGTTGGAATAAATAACTGTGTAGCAATTCGATTAACAGGTAAAAACTGAAAAGGAATTGTTAGATGCCAACTTGCCCAATATGCTAATATAATTTTATTAAAGATATCAATACGTATTGAATAATTACTTGAAAGATTTTTAGATCGATTAGGATAAAGTAAATATAGATTAAATTTCTTTTGACAATCACGTTTCGGTACGTATGTTATTTGTTCATGATATGGATAAATTGTTTCTTGATCATCGATAAGCATGATTACTAATTGAAAAGAATGTATATTATCTATTATCGTACGATATATTAATTGAAGTGTTAAACTATACGTTGATTTTGTAAATGACATCGATGACCAAAATAACTGGGAGGACAAAGACATCTTTTTGTTTGGTTATTTTTGAACAAAAGAGGAACTCCTCGATTACAATACCAATCTCGTTTAGCATTTTGCATCGGAGTACTTATATTCACATCTACTTTAGATGGTTGTAAAACCGAAGAATTAATAGAAGTTGATGGAAAATAACTTAATCCAAATGTTTGGAGAAATTGTTTTGGTTTTCTTTTAAAATAAAATTGGCTTGTGAGATAGCAGTTAGGAAAAGGATGTTTCAGAGCAGTAAAAAACGTAAACGGCGGAGATATTTTAGTTTGTATAAAACAATTATCATCAAAAACTATTGATGAGTTCAATGAATCATAAATCAGATGTTGTGAAGTAATACATTTTGTTTCGTTCCAAAAAAAAGATCTTTTAAATTAGTATAGGTTTGATTAGCAAAATAGACGAGACGATAATTTTCTGTTTCAGATCTTAAACGTTTCTCCATCAAATGGAGATATGGCACACAGAAAGGCTTGTGAGAGGTATCGTACTCACATAAGTGTTCGTTTGATGGACATTTTGCATCAGAACAATTCAGTTCATCAGCACCATTGAAACAATGCCAAGCGTTATCACATCGAAAGTATGGATTATTACATGGCCACCATTCACAACTAGTCTCGTCTGTATGATTGAGTGTATCCATTAACAATAAATCAGTTTCTCCATCGCAAAATATTGCGAAAGGTACAGTATTACTTCGAATATCTCGTCGATTTGCTGACCATTCATCATCTCCGTGTTCACAATCCTTTATTCCATTTTCAATAGCAACTATCGATAAACATTTTTCCGGATTGGATGTACATATAAAGCGTTTCGAATCATTTAATTGACAAGCAGGAAATAACTCATCTTCTTTGTAATAACAATCACTATAGCCATCAACTAATCGATGTTTTGAAATGCATTTTAATGAACGTGAACAATGAAATAAGGATGAATGTGAACATACTTGATCTGTACCAATTATTAAACAACGTTGACCTAGATCGAACAAAATCTCGTCTAACTGAAACCAAACCATTAATGTTCTATGTATTAGGTTATTCATTTTACAACATGTGAGTCCGTTATGAATACCAATATCTATTGAACAATATACTAATCCAGGACAACGACTTGCATTAAAACAGATGAAATCAGGCGCAATATTAACCTTAAATTCATCGACTGATCGATTTGTTAAATAAAGAAATTGAAAAAAACCATAAATAAATGGAGATTTAGGTAATACAAGCCATTCCGATTGACAATGATTACCGAGAAACTCGCAACGAATATTACTTGTGTCATTGTATTTAAAGTCAAGAATAGTATAGAATTTAAGTGAGCAGTAGAGTGCTTGTTTGCAGGGTATATTTGAGATGTGATCCAACGAAGGGAGAACATTATAAAACATATAATAATATCGATTATTAGCGCAATCGCCATAATTGTTTCTCGTAGTTTCTGTCCAAAACGAGGGATTATTTATGAAATCTTTACATGGAAATAATACAAGTGAACGCCGATCACGGAGTTCTTCGCATTGAAATGTTGATACATGTGTACATAGATAGTCAGTTACGTATCTGGAGTACTTTGCCGGATAGATTTCGTCTGAACCATCAAGACAATCAGTACTTGCTTTTCCATCACGAAGAAATGCGGACGAAATACATTGACCACCGAAGTGACAACGAAATTCATCTTCAAAACATTCATTTACTTCTAATATGTCACATGATTGCTCATCTTCTCCATTGAAACAATCAAAATATCCATCACAAATTTCATGCCAATCAAGACACATCGGTGATGGACCACGGTAACAGTCAGGTAAAAACGGATAACATGTATTCGCATAGACGTCTGTCTGAGATATACCATTAGTACTATACTGGAATTGAAGAACTTCATTAAATGAAGGTAATATAGCAGACGCAAATCTATACTGACATGTTGAACCAAACCATGGTAAAGAACAATTGTAAAATATTTCAGTCGAATTTTCACCATTTTTTTCATATCGTTCGACCATATCAATTGGTACTGACCATTTGAGTAATTCCATACTTGTTACACCTTGTCGATACAATTCAGCAAACGTCATATTATTTAAAATATTTCCATACAATATGATAGAGAAATTTTCTTCCTCGTCAGTTTCATCAAGTCGTCGACAATAAGGAATTAAACTGTAATCGTCAGTACTTAGTTGAGTTGTATCTCCTGAATAGGCATATAAACAATCAAATGTTGCATTAAATCCATATCGATCATCAGAATAGTATACAAAATATTGACCATCAACAATAATAATAAAAGGTGTGAGCAACACTAGTAGTGTTAAAAACTCCATTCTTAGCCGAACGACGCAGAATAAATGTATTTTTTTCTAACTTTATAATGATTTAATGAATCTTTTTTTAGTAACAAGACAAATAGCATGAAAGAAAGCAACGACTTACCATATGTTAACAAAATTTATTCACTTAAATAACTGCGAAATATAATTAAAAGACAATTTCATTTTTCTAAGTTGCTTTGTTCAAATAAACTCGCTTCATCAATTGTCAAATAAATAAATTAATTTAATTTAAGTTTATTAATTTTGTTGATTTATATATCAGATGAACAGAAAATCATGGAATATTTTTTTTTCTTTTTATTGCTGACGTCATTAACAGAACTTTATTATGTGCTGTTTATCGAATATGTTCATGTAATTCTTTGTGTGTTGCAAAGTCATGAAGCAATAAAAAAAATGGATAATCATTTTTCTCAAAGGGGAAAAAGCGAATCCTGAATCCTGGTGGGTCCTAAAATAGGTCTACAATTATTGTGAAAACTATTTTGTCTCATTGTTTCTCTTAGTATTTGGGGTGTGAATCCTGCTTTCTGATTTACACTCACCCACACCCTCTATTTTCAATAAAATACAACTTGATACTAATTTATGGAAGATATTCTCATGCAATACACGAAACGAACGATGTCTGTGAGGATGAGAATAACAAATTTATGAAATTAAAATAAAAAGTTTTAATTGATAATACGATAACAATATCTTTTCTCTTAACATATTTATTTTTCGATCAAGTTTAAGTTTATCTATTTGAGATTCATCGATTTTTATCTTTTTTTTTGCAAACTACATATGTCCTCATTCTATTCCCATAGATTATATATTAAATGTATTTCTAATACTCTGTAAAACAAAATCAGACAGCAAATAATTAAAGACAACATAGGAGATTTACTAAAAAAATATATGATTGACGTCAATTTGAAATACTGCTCTGAAGTAAAACGAATTTATTTTATCCATTTCCTTAAGATAAAGAGACATTTCAGCAACAGATGGAATGTATGTTATTCACATAATGCAAAATATAAAAAATAAAATACTTCATTTTTAGTCTCAATTCGATTCTGAACAAAGCAAATTTCAACAAATAAAATTGTATTGTTCTTCATTTTTATAACTAATAAATTAAATCAATTCTTTTAGATGGTTATCTAATTCAAGAATCAGATTAATCTTAATTATTGTTGGAATTATTATCTTAGTATCTGCGATTATTGCAATAACGGTAACTTTAACGATAAAGGATCAACTACCAACATCAATACCATCAACGGCAACAACAACAGAAGGTATCATTTTAGTGACATATTCAGGAGATCTCTGAACTTCACTAATGGTGAAAGTCCTACTGGCAAGTTATGGTAACCGAAAATTGTTAGGTAGTGACGCTATTTCTCGGTGTTACCTTTCGTTTCTTTTCTCTATGTATTCTTTTTTTGTCCATTGTTCAAGATGTAATCGGAAAACATGGATGAATTTTCTTAGAAGAAATTGTTGTTGTAGTTTTAGTGATGTTTTGGAATAAACTAACAAGGGGACCTGTTAATTAGATTATAATGATCAATATTTTTTTCTTTTAGGAATATGTTCAAGTTTCTCTACCGTAAAAAGTTTTCCAGAAAGCAAAATGTATGTGAAGTCTATTACAATCGTGGATATAGATGATGACAACAAGGAAGATATTATTATTGCAAATCGGTTTGGATTTGAAATAAAAGTCTTCTTCAATTATTTTAATGGTCAACTAAATGATGAAATCGATTCCATATCTTATGCTGGAATACATAAGAAAGTAGTAGGTGATCTAAATGATGATAAGAAACTTGATATTATCGCTATGGGTGAGCTGACAAATAATATTACTCTTCTTTATAATAATGGAAAGGGAACGTTCAACGATAAAATAATGATTTCAACGAATTCTATAGTATACTTATATCGGTCTTTTAACAATTCTTTGTTAATTATATTTATTTCAAATTTGCTTTCGCTTTTGTCTAAATTTAAATAAAATTTTCGGGATATAAAATTGTCTATCTGAAGGAGTGAGATAGAGCTCCCAATATCTAATGAAATATTTGTAGGTCGTTGTCGTTCATCTAAATCGAAAAGAAATATGTGAAACTGATTGTTCTCAAATTTAATGTTTCTTTGTCTTACTAATAATAAATCATTCAGATAAAAGAAAGAAAACAAGTCTTTTCTTTTTCGTTTCTTTGTTAATGAGTCATACTTAAAAGAATGAAAAAGTAAATCTTTACTGTGCAATATTTGACTGTTAAATGGGTATATAAATCAAACACATTCAGAAAAAACTTTAAGATTG